TTTCTTGATGAACACTAGAAGTCTTTGCCAGAGCCACTCAGGCAGAGGCTCAGGGGCCTTACATCAAGTGGCTAGTATGTGCACAGGGCTACACACACCTCCTGTGTACTTCAAAGAAGCTACTGGTTTTGTTACAGTACCGAGCACGCTGGGAATGTTGCGGAGTACAACAGTGATCGCTACGTGTTTATATTTGCATTATTTTTTTTAATTATTGTTATTGGACCTTGAATTTCAGCCTTCAAAATGATGAAAAATAAATTTCTTTAAAAATATTTCTTAAAATTTATTTTATGTGTATGAGTGTTTTGCCTTTCTGCACGCATGTGTGCCATGTTTGTGTCTGGTGCCTTCAGAGGTCAGAAGAGGGTGACGGATCCTCTAAAATTGTAGTTGCAGATGGTTGAGAACCACTGTGTGGGTGCTGAGGACTAAATGTGAGTCCTCTGCATGTGCAACAAATGTTCTGACCCACTGAGCCATTTCCCCAGACCTGCAAAAATTAATTTTTGTTGCATAAAACATTTTGTCTATATTAATTGGTATGGCAGCCTGAGCAGGCTAACGTAAGTTATGAAAATAAAGAAGTAGGTCTTCTAACTTGTTAATTGGATGTAAACACACAAAGATTAGAAACCAAGAAAGCTGGTGATTTACTAGCTGCCTAGCCACAATCGACATCTTCGTATTTTTGATCATCTTTCGTGAGAAGGAGGTAGGAATGAGAATGGTTTGTATGTCAAGGACTAAAGAGTACCTAGTAAGGTTCTCAAACAATGCTAGCTGCCCAGCTGCTACCCAGATGTGACAGTCAGTCCACGAAGCCATGACATCATGAATTACTCTTCATTCATCTGCTACATATAGGGTGCCTGTTCCTCCCTGGTTCCTCATTCAGAAGGTACTGGTTAGTTATGTAACGTTTAACGTAAGATCCCTGGTAAGGATGCTAGGGAAGATCACATTTTCCCTCTGGGCTCATTTGAGTAAGAACCCATTTTGAGGCTCATTCACCTTGGATCACAACACAGGCAGTGCCACTGGAGACTGTGCTTCTAGAAAGGCAAGACTTTAATACCCAACAGCTCCTGACCCTGTCTCCTCTGTTACTAGGCAGGCTGATGATGGAGAAGAGAATGTGGGAGAGGAAGACAACAAGAACACAGAACGAATGAGGGCCTCTCTCCGACTGAAGAACTGAGAGTTGGAAGATACACATTCCCCAAGGCCACTGATAAAGCAAATCCTACAGAAGAGAGCTCTGCATGCCACTGAGTGTGAAGTTGAATACTGCTCCCATCCAGGCTCACATTTCCTCCACATTTTGTTAGTCCACTGCCCACTTCTTTCAACCGTGCTCAGGGCCTTTCAATCGTCCAGCATTTCCTTTCAAACACACAGACAGAACAAAAGGGAGAACATACTAGCCACTCACAAGTCTTAATTTAGACTTCTGGAGTTCTTAGTTGATTAATTCCTTCTGACATGGCCCAGATGTCTCTAGAGCAATTAGTAACAGAACGGGGTTAGCAGGGCTCTTCATGGTGATGCAGACTCATTACGACTGATTGCTCATTTATGAAAATGAAGCAATGAAAATGAAATCAAATGGAGTTTAGACCTGAAAGGATAGCGCTAGCTTGACAGTCCCTAGATATCAACACCTCTCCTGATCTTATCTTGACCATATTTAAGAGACAACCACACCCAAGACAAGGCTGGAATGTATTTTTATACATGTACTCCAAACCATATGGTGCTGATGCTCATAGATCATAGAGACATACTCAGATAGCCTCGGTCCCTCCTATGCATAGCAGACCCACCTAAGCTTCTGAGATCACAGTGAGGTTGCCATGTTATTTCATCCATTAGATAGCTAAATAAATTAGAGGATTGATGGGGGAGAGTCTTCTGGCTTGTGTTAATTTCATTGGTTAAATAGAGAGACTGCCTTGGCCCTTTAATAGGACATAAAATTAGGTAGGCAGAGTAAACAGAACAGAATGCTGGGAGAAAGAAGCTGAGTGAGAGAGTCGCCATGATTCTCCCACTCCAGACAGATGCAGGTTAAGATCTTCCCTGGTAAGCCAGCTCGTGGGGCTACACAGATTATTAGAAATGGGTTAGATTAATATGTAAGAGCTAGCCAATAAGAGGCTGAAACTAATGGGCCAAGCAGTGCTTAAATGAATACAGTTTGTATGTTGTTATTTCGGGGCATAAGCTAGCCAGGCGGCTGGGGTGCTGGGGACGCAGCCCCGCTGCTCATATCACAACAGAGGATGTTGTGAATTAAAAGTCTGTAGCTATTCTTGCCTATCCTTCTTCCACGGCTTGTGGATTCTTGCCAGCTCATATTGCAATGATGAGAGAAGTTTTCCTGGCTCAGATAATTCCACTCAATGCTACTACTAATTCTGAGGTGCACAGCCCACAGTTAGCTTTATTGGTTTCTGACAAACGTCTTCAACTGTTTCCTATTTATGTTCAGTCTACACAGTGACCCAGGAGGAGTCTTTTTGTTTGTTTGTTGTTTTGTTTTTTAAGACTGGCCTCATTACCTAATCCTAGCTGCCTGAAACTGCCTATGTTCACTAAGCAAGTCTACGTTTAGAGAGATCTTCTTGTCTCTGCCTCCTAAGTGCCGGTTTTAAAGGTACATGCAACCCACTATGCCTGTGCTTCAGGAGGATGATTTAAGGGCTCATTCTATCATAGCATCTCAAACCCTCCAAACCTTGCTACTTCTAAGGAACAAAATACAAATCTTTGCAGGTCACCACCTCATGAAGCCCGTTTCTAGGTGCTTTTAATTAAAGCCTCAATGGCACCTTTATCCCAGCTGAGCCACTGAAGTGACCCTAAAACATCTCTACCTCTGAGCCTTCTCCAGAGATTTCTTTCAGAGACTCCCTTCCCCAGTTATCTATGAATGTCCTTCACCCCCTGAAGGCCAACAGCCTTCAGTCTTCTTCAGGGGCCCTTTGTGAGACTGCACCAAACTATAGCTCTACTCTGAATGGCATTTGCTCGAACGTTCTAATACAATCACCCTTGGTGTCTTAGAGGCCTGCCTTAGGACTCCCGTGGACCCCCAAATCCAAACATGTGCAAGCCCCTTCTACAAAATAGCATGGTATTTGTATAGATCCTACACACGGTTCCCCTGTACTTTAAATTATCTCTAAATGACATATACTCCCTAGTTCAATGCAGATACTGCGAAAATAAATGTAACATCATGTTATTTAAGGAAATTGCAAGAAAAATCAGTCTGAATACATTCAGTACAGAATTTTTAATAAATATATTTGATCTGTGGTTGGCTGAATCACAGATACAGAACTGATGGATACAGAGGGCTGATGGAGTATATATTCATTAAACTAGCACAGAATTGTGCCCAATTTGGCTATAACTCAGTGTTCTGACTATGGCAGGCATGTTGAGCAAATATGTACACCATGGGCATGCAGGGGTTTCTTTTGCACAGGCTTGAATTCTTCTTAAGGGGTGTTTGCTGTCCAAGGTGTAAAGAGTATATAACTTTGACTTTGTAATTCTAATCCTAGAAATACCCCGTTGAAACCTTAAAAGGACATATGCAGGCTACTACAGATGCTCACTGCCTTATTTTTTACAGAAGGGAATGTAGAAGAGTCCTTAGATCTGCATCAAGCAGCTGATAAAACCACACTGTACAACAGTTGCTAACACAAGATCCAACTCATACATTGTTATGTGCAAAAAGCAGCTGGGAAGGCAGTATATAGAGTGAGTTTGATTTTTTTTTCTAGACAGTGGGTAAATGCCTTAGTCAGAGGCCTTTTTCCCTTTGATTTTATGTGAATTAGAATGTTGAGACATTAAACCGATGTGTTAAATAGTTCTTAGAGAGACAACGGCCTCTTTACACCACAAACACCCAGCCGAGATGGATGGGGGCACTGGCAAAATGCAGTTTGACACCAGTCTGTGTTGAAGCTGAACTCTATAGAGAGATGCCCTGCTGCTGTGGGGACAGTCAACCGATGTCCTAGCAGGTGAGGTGCTCAGGTTCCCATTGTGCTTCCAATGCAGAGTCCTCCCAGCCCTGGAAAAGTCACTTCCTTTTCTTGTCTACTGTGAGTATGTTTTCTTACTTCCTCCCTCATTACAAGTTAAAAGATCACTTAGATACATACTATTTGAAAAAAACACTAAATATATTGTATAAAATTGTATAATGTTGACCGATTAGATCAACATGTAACTCCATACCTGTGCGTACATTCATTAGCCACACAGAGTGAAGGAAGAAAACGCATTTTAGAGCAACTTTGATAAGCCCGTGATTCTTCTAAAGGTATCTCCCACACTTCTTATTGGTTAGATTATCGCTATTGCTTTTTGAGACAGGCTGACCTCTAACTTGCTGAGGAACACTAAGATGATCTTGAACTTCTGGTCCTCCTGCCTCTACCTCCTAAGTAATGGGATTACAGCAATGCACTACTATGCCTAGCTTCTTACTTTTTAAAGAGAATTGACAGTAAGTGAATGAAATTAGTTTTAATTGCAGAAATATTCTAGACTTTAGATCAATAACTTACAAACATTTAAAGCCTTAACAGACTCATTATGAAGGAAGCAAAGCACTTTTCTTTGCCTGTGTAAACATTTTGACATTGATTCTAATGCGGCCAGATGGGCAATAATCTTGAATCGGTCACATAAATACAAAGTACATATTTACAGATACACATATGACAGATAACACCGAAGGCTCGTGGCATATGGCTGGCAATTGCATATCAAATGCTTCTTGACACAGAGACATAAACTCTGGTCGTGACCTCATGTACCGACACACACATACAAACACCCCAACACCCCATGGCGTCATCTTCCCAGCGTTGCTTATTCAGGCTTCAGATAAAAAGAACCAGAGAGAAAGAAACTATCCCGTGAAGGGAGGGAGGGAGGGGGCTGTGCGCCTTGGAAGAGGTTGGACTTACCTGTTAAGTGGTTGGCAATCCGGGCAGTGGGTTTGGGAGGCAGGGCCGGGGGCTGCTTGAGAAGGGACAACTGCTTCACTGGGGTCTCCTCATGGTCTCCAGAGAAAGCAGCAGGTTTTTTGGGGGGCAGGAACAGAACTGGTTTGGCTGAAGGATCTTGGGACAGGAGGACTCCAGACTCACTGGCAGAGGGACTCTCTTGAGACACTGAGGGGACAACCACATGACACACAGGAGACATTACACAAACGCAGTGCAGGCCAGCCAGGCACACAGGACAGGGACACTGTCAGCCCAACAAGATAGCAGAGTGAAACCCACTGCAGGCCACAATGGGCACAGGGAGAGCTAAAGCAAGGACAAGAGAAATCCAAGAAAGCTGGGGGGATGTAGGGGGAGGGGTAGGAAAGGGAGGATGAGGAAGACAGAGGAGAGATGAGGAGAAGCAAGAGGGCAAAGGGGGAGGGGTAAGGGCATCGCCTCATGACAAAGGTCACCACTTTAAACTGAGCCTGCATCATCCAAAGTTCACAGATGCTCTGCTGTGTGACTCAGGAGACCACAGGCACAACCAACAGGACAATGACTAGCACGAGGACTTTGAGTCCTCTAAACTAAACAAGAAGAGCTGGGCCCTTTTCTTGAACCCCTGGGCTCTTCCTTTGCTGAGGGAAGACAGAGATGGGCCACACACTGGTGGAGATTATTGGTGATAGCCACTGGGTCTCGCTCTCTGGTCCATCATACCAGGTGGCAGCTGACAAGGTGCACACTAGCAGGCCACACACAGAGGCTAGAGTGGCTGCTCCTTCAGAGTGGCCAGGACTGAGGGCCAGGCTCTCAATGAGAACACACTCTTGCCCTGCCTGGCCCTGTAAATTCTCACAAGGCAGTGAATGTGCAAAGGCTCCACCTTTTTATTTGTCCAGTTCCTTTACTTCCTGCTTGCCAGACTTCCCATTGTCTTCTCTATTCCCTCCCTTCCTCTCCACCTTCTTTCCAGGTTCTCGTACATTCTAGGCTAGTTAACCTTGAACTTCCAATTCTCCTGTTTCTACCTCCTGAGTGCTGGGATTGCAAGGCATGAACCACCTGGCCTTGGAACTAACTAGATACTTGGTACTAGGGATTGACCCCAGGGGCATCGTGCATGCTGGGTAAGCACCTTAGCAACTGAGTCACATCTTGGCTCCCACTGTCTGGTTTCAACTCTCCCCCATCTCTTCACTCGGGCCTGCCTCTTATTTTCCCCACAGGAGTCTCTTGATAGGTTCCTTTGTTGAGCTGCCATGAAGAGGTAGCCTACTGCTTCCTACTGTGCTAGCAACCTGGGTAAGCATGGTAAAACCCTGGGACTCGACTGGGGTGGTAGGCTTCACTTAAAGACTCCAACTGCCAGATTTCAGTGGTACAAGGGACATTGGGTTGAAAACTGAAAATCACTGCTCCTGCTTGAAAATTCTAGGGGGCAAGATATAGCTCAAACGCCTGTCCCCTGCCTTCTACGACTGTCACAAGGAGGCAGTGTATAAAGAATTCTTCCACTGTACTGCCTTCCTTCTCCTCTGGAGAAAGTAATGCCATATAACAACTCAACCCTGCAAAGACACCCTGAGTATTCCCCACCTCAGGGGACATTGTTCTAATCTGTGTTCAACAACAGCTGGCCAGGTCCCGCAGTGAAGCGTGAGTACCAGCTTGGGAAGACAACCCCTCTCCCCTCCTCCCACTCAAGTAAAGTATGCACACAGACGCTGCACATGGCAGCGCCAGGACTGTAGCCTTCCCGTCCGCACTCTGGGTAGTCCCCGAGGCTCCTTCCCAGCCCATAAGACATGTGCTGCTCCTCTCTGTTGGTAAAGACTCATCTTCCGGCTGCTTAGGACGGCTCTGCACCTCCTGAAGAGGGGCAGGTTGGCCACTGGGTGGCAGTAGACCGGAAGGAGGCAATAATCAGAAAGCATCCAAACATGTCTACAGCAGGCTCCAGCTTAGCTGGGAAATTGTATACGATTTAATAAATGTGTTGATTGGCTGTAACTAGTACATTTACTAAACTGACATGATCATTAAGGAGTATATTGGGATGGGAAATTAGACAGTATAGTCAGGCTTTTGGGACAGAAAGGTTAGACAGGTCTAGAGAGGGATAGGATTCTTCTGATTTATCTTAACAAAGATGAATCTTAGAAAACAAAGAATATTTTAAACCATCAATATCATAAAAGGTGTTATAATATTTTTAAAGCGTTTTAAGTCAAAAAAGTGTTTTTACAAACTATAAAACATTATGTGAAGATAGCATCCGTATCTTCTTAGGCTCAGTCATGTGCAGACAACTATGACATTAGTTTTTCCCATATTTCTCGGTCTTCATGCTCGAGTGGTTAAAATGGGCATCCCAAATCCTGCCAGGGGACTGTGACATCCTGGAGACCCACCCCCCCCCCCGCCTCTGCCAGGTCATTACCTGGTCCGTCCATGATATCTGAAGCTTGGAGCACCTCAAACGAGCAGGGGTCCCTGGGCATTGGTACAGGCTCCATTTCCGACAGGGCAGGCAAAGACAGCTGGCTGGAGCTCAGGGACTGTCCGTTCTCCAGGGAGTCATCGTCATTAGAAATGGAGAGCTCTCCGTCTGTGGGAAAGAAGAAGATGGAAGAATCAGATGAGGGGTGTCCTCATGTGAGGCTCCCACTGCACTCAAGGCCGCTAACAAGTCTGGATGCTCTGAGCCATCTTTAGCAAGATCAGTGTCTGCACGTGACAGCAACTCTTTGCTTTTAAAACATGTACCTTTAGAGAGAGCCCATATACTCCTTGAAAGTACATTTCAGCCATTCACAGCAACTTCCCTATTCTCTCTCCATCCTTTTCATTGCACTCTATTTTGTGTTTAATGTATATAAGTTTTTTTTCTTTTTAAAATACTTGCTGAATTTTTAATTATGTGTTTTTGTGTCTATGTGTGGCATGGTGGTTTGAAAGAAAATGGCCCCCAAAGACAGTGGCACCAATGGGAAGTGGGGCCATCTTGGAGTAGGTGTAGCCTTGTTGGAGGAAGTGTGTCAATGTGGAGGCAGGCTTTGAGGTGTCATATATGCTCAAGCCATGCCCAGTGAGACTGTTCACTTCCTATTGACTGTACAACGTAGAACTCTCAGATACCTCTCCAACACCATGTCTGCCTGCACGCCACCATGTCTCACTCTGATGATAATGGACTGAACTTCTGAACTGTAAGTGAGTCATCACAATTAAATGTTTTTCTTTATAAGAGTTGGCATGGTCATGGTATCTTTTCACAGCAATAGAAACCCCAAGACATGTGGCTATGTGCACATGAGTAGAGGTATTCTATGGGCCAGAACAGGGTAGACCTCAGCTGTTCCTCTCTGTTGGCAGAGACTCATCTTTGGGCCTATAAGGATGTCTCAGCATCTCCCAAGAGAGGTATACTGGTTGCCTAGGTGACAATGGACCAAAGAGGGAGGCATTCCAGAGGGTGGCACTGGAGCTGCAGTAAGAGGCAGCTGTGAGCCTCCTAGTACAGCTACTGAGAACCGAACCCAGGTCCTCTGCAAGGACAGTATGAGCTCTTAGCAACCAAGTCTCTCTTTAGTCTTACTTCTTTTTCTTAATAAAAATGAATGAAAATTTTTTTCCTTTAATTTTTAAAAGATGTAGAAGCTTAGCAGGCAATAGAGACTGAAGAACCATGATTGAGAAATTTTACAGTAGGGAACAACTATTGCCAAAGCTATTGGTGGCTCCCCACAAACTCCACTCAGACCCTATTGCTGAAGACAACACCCACACAATGCATTGAACATAGAGAAGCCAAGCTGCTGCCTACCTAGAACCTGCACCTCTATTGGCTATTTTTCATGGTACTGGAAGGTACTCTGCATGCTACCAAAGAAGAAAGGTAAACATGAATCTAGCTAAACAAAACAAAATAAAACAAAACAAAAACCTTTAATCGTGGCCTGCCAGAAAGATACGTTGATGCCATCTAAAATTTTATTTGAGATAAGGCCTACTCAATGAGATGAATCCATACTCAACTCTGCTTGGGTGATCAAGAACTTGAGACTAGACAGGCCAGGGACCTAGGGAAAAACCAGATGCTATTGCTCTGCTAAAGGAATGTAGCAATAAAATTATCTGTTATGACTTTCTGCTATATAGATAGATATGAGCCTTGTTTGGCCATCATCAGAGAAGGTTCCTCCTGTAGCAGGTGGAAACAAACACAGAGACCACAGCCATGCAATATACAGAAAGTGAGAGATCTTTGAACACTCAGCCCTAAAAGGGATGTTCCCATCAAATCCTTCTTCTCAGTCCTCAGGGAACTCTGCAGAAGAGGAGGCAGGAGCGAGTAAGTGCCAGAGGGGATGGTAGACACCAAGGAATCAGGGCCTTATAAATACAACAGAACTGACACACACATGAGCTTACAGAGACTGAGGCAGCATGCACAGGGACTAGTGGGGGGCACCAGATGGGGTCCTAGAGCTGAAAGAAGATGTGGACACACGCCTCCATCCCCAACACAGAAACCATTTCCAGTTGACTGCCACTTGCAAATGAAAGATTAAGTTTTGTTCAAGGGAATCTCACTTAGGGAAACAAACCACTTGGGAGGGTAGGTCCCATGCCAACTAATACATGTCCAACATAAAATAAACTCAATGGCATCTTTGGATGGTCTTTGTCTTATAATGCTAAGTCAGGGCATCTCCCTACCCCTACTCTACAGGCCCTTTGTATATATATTATGACTTTTGGTTTGAGGTTTTCATTGGGTTTCCAATAAAAATTGTGTGTGAAAGTGTGTGTCTCTGGGTCAGTATGTGTTTCTTGGGCTCTTTTTTTTTTTTTTTTGGCTCTTTTTACTGCTTGGTTGTTTTGTCATATTCCAATTTGTATGTTTTTGATTTATTTTATTATTCCTTAGATACCTGTTTTTTTTTTCTAATGAGAGACAGGGTGTGAATTCAGATGGGAGAAGAGGTGGGGAATATCTGGGAGTAGGGAGAGGAGAAACCATAATCAGAATATATAGTATGAAAAAAAGCCATTTTCAATGAAAGAAAAACCACCACAACAAAACAAACAAACAAAAAAAAAGCATTAGCAAGCAAAGAAGCAGTGAGGACGTGCAGCTCCAGGTTCAAAGAACATCATTCATCTGTTTACCTCTGTCCTCATCCGATTCTTGAGGCGAGTAAGCATTTAGGAAAATCTACAATCCCTACCTAACACGCTGTGGCAGCTCACGGCAGCCGGGAAGTGCCAGGATCCTTTTGGTGCCAACCACCAACCATGTCAACTTTGATCTGCTTGAAGCTCAGTCCCTCACAGGGTCGATTTGAGGATCAAAGCCTCCCGCTCAATGGCCATCTGTTAAATCAAAACTCCCCCCTAGCGTGATTTCATCTATACCCAGGGAGTCTTAAATAGCTAAACGTTAAAGCCAAATTAATTTTTCAAGAGGACTTAAAACTCTCTCAGTCAGATGAATAAACACCCAGATGAAAGACGAAGTCATACCCACTCCGAAACAGAGCCTGGCAAAGCAACGGCCTGACTTAAAACTCGAGACAGACTTGTAGAAATGAAAGAGAGCTGAAGCTGAGGTTAATGTTCCTTTCATTATACTCCTTTCAATGTTCTGATTTCATACACTGTGATATCTGATAGCACTGAAATCCTTCACACCACCCCATTAGAACTGCCTTTAACAGAATGTGTGTTTGCTAGAATGTTTTATTAACCCAATGGGCTGTAAATAGTACATGGTCAAGGACCTGTAGTGTTTGACATGGATTGTCTATAAACATTAAAAAAAGAAATAGATAAAAACTCACTGAAGCAGACAGTCACACACAATACTGGCCTTTGAAGGCTAGTTTGGCTCTCTTTATCTTCTTTTCATTCAACCTTTCTGCACACCCTAAATAGCAGCAGAGGTTATTATCTCGGAAATGAAAGATACAGTTACTATTTGTTAAGAAGAATACAAGAGGGGGCTGGAGAGATGGCTCAGAGGTTAAGAGCACTGGCTGCTCTTCTAGAGGTCCTGAGTTCAATTCCCAGCAACCACAAGGTGACTCACAAACATCTGCAGTGAGACCTGGTGCCCAACTTCTGGTGTGCAAGCATAGAAGCAGGAAGAACACTGCATACATAATAAATAAAAAAAAATGTTAAAAAAAAAAGCACAAGAGCAGGTCAGAACCTTGAGACCAATGCTACAGAGCTTACACAGCTGAGCTGCAAGTCTGCAAGGCAAGGTAGGGAGAGCCGTGCCGTGTTAATGTGACCTTACAGTATCCCCCATCATCTCAACCCACTTCTATTTATCAAGTTCAAACTGTTATCATGGGAAGTGGCTCTGCAGAAAGTCCCTAGTTAGAGGGATGATGACATACTGTCATTTGGTTTGGACACATCTCCAGGAGAACACTCTGATTCTGGATGTTCTGGGCATATTCATGGCTCTCGAGAAGACATCCTAAAGAGTAGAGGGTCTTAATGCCACCACCATGTTTTGTTGCTTTGGACGACTAATGCTGTTGAATAATGGTTGCTTGGTTTAAGAGTTGAGAGGACCACACAGATAACTCTGGGACAAAAGCTGCAGCTGCAGCTGGATTTCTCTGGCAGATACCCATGACTCTGATTTCTTTAAGGAAGCTATTTTATAGTCTTGCTAGGAAGTTAGCTAACTGAGAGAAGTCCCATGGCTCCTTGTGGATGAAAAAGGGCCTTTGCTGGGTTACAAAGTCCCAAGCTACTCTGCAGAGGGATCATTCTTGGGAATTGTTGTGACTGATAAAGACACATTTTCATTGAAAAAATTAAAAAGAGACAAAGAAATAAAAGATGTTGATGACACCCACAATCTACTCAACAGGAGAAATTTCTTCTTTCTGTAAATATTTTTTATGGCTGTAATCTTACTATGTTTCAAAATTTTGTGTTTTGAGGCTGGAGAGATGACCCAGTGGTTAAATGCACTGGATGCTCTTCCAGAGAACCCAGGTTCAGTTCCCAACTGGCTAACAATGGTCTTTAACTCCAGTTCTAGGAGATCTTACTCATTCCCTCTTCTGGCATCTGTGGGCACTGCATGCATGCGGCACACAGACATACCACTAATATACATTAAAAACTTTAAATAATTATGTCTTATTTTTAATATTACTATTATGATCTTATTTACAGTTTTGTTAACAATTATACTAAATGTTTTCTTAACTTTCTCCCTAACATCTCTACCAAGCATTAAAAATTCCCAATTAATTGCTTAGCTTGAAGGTAGTATAGCAATGCTGTGGGATGATGCTCTTGTGCACTGAAAAGATTTGTCACTTGTATTTGTTTAATAAAACACTGATTGGCCAGTAGCCAGGCAGGAAATATAGGTGGGGCAATCAGACTGGGAGAATTCTGGGAAAAGGAAAGGCAGAGATGCAGTTGTAAGCTAGACATAGAAGAAACAAGACAAGAATGTCTCACTGAGAAAAAGTACCAAGCCACATGGCTAAACATAGATAACAGTTATGGGTTAATTTAAGTTGTAAGAGCTAGTTAGCAATCATCCTGAGCTAAGAGGTCAAACAGTTT